GGAGAAAACCGAGGGCCCCCTAGTGGGATCTTTATGTTGGGTTGAGAGATACGAAGAAGGTAGTCCATAACTAAGAAAACAGAATAAAGGTAAAGGTTCCCCTCGCATGTATGTGCTAGTCGTTCCCGACTCTAGGGGGCGGTGCTCATCTCCATTTCAAAGCCAAAGAGCCAGCACTGTCTGAAGACGTCTCGGTGGTCAAGTGGCCGGCATGACTCAATGCCAAAGGCGCACGGAACGCTGTTCCCTTCCCACCAAAGGTGGTTCCTATTTTTCTACTTGCATTTTTTTACATGCTTTCAAACTGCTAGGTTGGCAGAAGCTGGGACAAGGAACAGGAGCTCACTCCGTTATGCGGCACTGGGGATTCAAACTGTCAAACTGCCGGCCTTTCTGATCGAAAAGCTCAGCATCTTAGCCACTGAGCCACCCTGGTGGGATTAGAAAAACCAAAATGGTGGCCCTGGCAGTGCAATCACAGTTTGCACAACATACCAGTTGTGTGTTTAATGTGTGTGAAAAGGTTCAGGTTGGCTTTTTTTAATCCACGCCCTCCAGACACCACTGAATCCACTTAGAGGAGAATGGTTGCACCCTAATGGATGAATGGCACCCATCATCGGTGGAAGGGCCAAGTCCTGAGAAAGAGTTTTACCAATTTCTTCCATCCTGCAACCATTTTATTGGACTAGGGTTAATTTCAGTGGTGGGATTCAGCCAGTTCGGGAGAACCAGTTGGTAACTTTCTAAGCAGTTTAGTGAACTGGTTGTTGGAAGAAATCATTAGGGCAGAGAACCGGTTGTTAAATTATTTGAATCCCACCACTGGTTCATTTACTCTACTATAACTTTTTCTCACCACGGACTTCCTTTTGTGGCCATTGACCGCCAAGACTTAACTCAAGATTTAAGACATAATGTTTTTTTCAAGCATTCAGAGACCCCTTGAGATGACCCCACTGTGGGGGTCTGCAAATCACAGGTTGAGACCCTACTGTATGGAGAAATTCTGGCCAGAAGAGACAATTCCAAGGAGAGAGAGAGAAAAATTGATATTTTAGCCCGGCATGCAACAAAGTTAGTTACTTACCTCTTTCATTAACTCTTCTATGGAGGAAGGATTGCAGCCCATATCTGTCATCTCATTCAAGGTGCATTTGGTCCCCATCCCAAGTTTACCTGGAAGTAAAAAGCCTTTGAGTCCAACTGCACACTCTACAAGGACGTCATTCTGCGAGAGATTCAGTGGGTCTTTATAACAAGGAGATCAACAGGAGAAGAAGTACAGAAAAGCAAGAAGAAAAAAATGATTCTAAAAACCTGTATGTCTGGTTTCGTGAAAAGGAGGACTGGGGGTGGCATGATAGCAGTGTTTCAATATTTCAGGGGCTACCACAAAGAAGAGGCAGTTAAACTATTTTGTAAAGCGCCTGAAGGAGAAGAAGAAGAAGAATCAAGGAGAGAAATACCTGGAACTAAAGAAGAAATTTCCTGCAAGTGGGAACAATTAAACCAGTAGAACAGTTTGCCTTGGGTGCTCCATCGCTGGAGGTTCTTAAGAGCAGACTGGATGCCCATTTGTCTGAAATAATATATGGCCTCCTGCTTGAGCAGGGGGGTGGATTAGAAGACCTCGAAGGTTCCTTCCAACTCTGTTATTCTGTCAACCTGTCTGTGGAGGTTCTCAACCATCCAGGTCATGGCTGTTGCAATGGTGCTTTTTCAAAGGGCAACTGGACTTTGCTTTTTCTTGAAGGCATTTCGCCTCTCATACAAGAAACATCTTCAGTTAAAGCAGGAGTCTCCAAACTTGGCAATTTTAAGACTTGTGGACTCCAAACTTGGCAATTTTAAGACTTGTGGACTTCAACTCCCCAGCTGGCCTGGGAATTCTGTGAGTTGAAATCCACAAATCTTAAAGTTGCCAAGTTTGGAGATCCCTGAGTCAAAGCATCTTCAGTTAAGCAGTTAAAACATCTTCATCAACAACATTCAGTCAGAACAAAGATGTTTCTTGGATGAGAAGCAAAACATCTTCAAGGGAGGAAAAAAACTCCAGCTGTCTTTTGAAAAAGCAACTCCAAATCTGTGGATTTGGCACTTGAGATGGGGGAGAAATGCTGAATATTCTGAACTCCAAACCTGACGAGGATTTTCTTCCCATTAAATCAAAAAGACAGAGCACAGAAAAAACAGAGCGATATTTTGAACATGTTTTAAAATCTAAATAAAGTGGCCTCTTTGGAGGGGGGGGATGACAAACTCACTTTCCTATTAGTTTTCAAATGCAAAACAAAGAGAAAACAAATTGTCTTTTGATCGCAGGGAACCAAGCGTTGTGGGTTTCGCTGCAGAGACCCCCCACCTTGACACCTTCGACACATCATGCAAAGGGAGTGAGAAAACAGCATTTTGGGTTGCTTCCCAGGCAAAAGAGTTCATGCAATCAGCAGCAGAAGGCCTGTTGCAGAGACAGATTTCTTGAAATTCAGTTTTGCATGGTTGAAAAGACACCACACCAGAAGAACCACAGCTAAAAATAATGCAGGCTGTACATCTCCGGCAAAGTCAGACATGGTGTTCTGTAACCACAACATTGAGCTGCGACAAAAGAGCTGACCCAGAGTTGTATTTTTGCCCATTCTCACAATCCCGGAAAATGGAGTTTTGAAAGGGGGGGCGCAGAAGTGCTCAATTAAAGGGGGAGCAAACCTTCCCACCGGCATGGCGGATTAAGAGAGATGGCTGGGGCACAGCAGGCTGCTTGAGATGCTTTCTCAAAAATATGCACCAGACGTGCAAGATCAAAACTTAAAATCGTTTTCCAGCTGGAGAATTCTGGGAGTTGAAGTCCTAACATCTGGCTNGTGAGAAGGTTGGGCCAAGATACAGAGAGTAGCAATAGCAATAGCAGTTAGACTTATATACCGCTTCATAGGGTAGCCCTCTCTAAGTGGTTTACAGAGTCAGCATATTGCCCCCAACAACAATCCGGGTCCTCATTTTACCCAACTCGGAAGGATGGAAGGCTGAGTCAACCTTGAGCCGGTGAGATTTGAACTGCTGAACTGCAGTCAGCTGAAGTAGCCTGCAGTGCTGCACTCTAACCACTGCACCACCTCAGCTCATCAAAATACATAGAGTGAAAGGTCAGTGAACAGGCTATGGCCAACTCAAGAGGAAAATGTTGTCTTAGAAGACAGATATGGGTCACCTAAGACCCTTACAACCCATGCAGACATACACACTGTCTATATCAAGGGTCTTCTCACTCTATCTCCATGATCCATGGACCTCCAACACAATCATTTCCTTCCAGAACTAAAGTTCTATCAGTCCTCCTAAACTGGAGCTAAGCTGGAAGTAGAACATAGAGCATTAGAATAATAGGGCTGGAGGGAACCTTGGAGGTCTTCTAATTCAACTTCCTGCTCAAGCAGGAATACCATTCAAGACAAATGGCTCATCAATCTTTCCTTGATAACCTCCAGTGATGGAGCACCCATCATTCCAGAGGCAAGCGGTTCCACTGTTGGTTTTCATTCTCTGGAATTTCTTCTTAATTCTAAGTTGGAACTCTCTTTAATGAACTTCCAACCTGTTGCTTCTCGTCCTTGGTGCTTTGGAAAACAGGATGACACCTCCTCCTCTCTGTGACAGCCAGAAGACAGTTATCATGTCACTCCCTAGTCCTTCTCTTCATTAGACTAGACACAACCTAATTCCTTCATTTGCTCAATGTATGGCGTCAGGTAATGAGGATTTAAAAGATGCCAGCTGATGTAAGGTTGTAAGCTATAAACTATAAGCTGATGCAATGAGGATGATCCAGCAATGCAGGCATCGCCTCTTTAAGACTCTGATAGGGTCCACACAAGGCATTTCCCTTTTAGGAGGTGTCTATATATAGGTGGCCATTAGAGGGCATTGCTCTCTCTCATCGTGTATCTCATTTCTCTCCTTGTGTACATAGCTGAGTGCTAAGGGATTTATCTCCCATGTGTATGTCTGCATATATTGGTATATAAACCACCATTAATTGTCTAAAGGCTCTGCGTGCTGTGTTTTGCTCCTGGGTTTATCTCATAATAATAGCCACGCTGCCAAAACTCTGACATATGGTTTAGCCTCCAGACCAGGGGTGAAATCCAGCAGGTTCTGACAGGTTCTGGAGAACCGGTAGCAGAAATTTTGAGTAGTTCAGAGAACCAGCAAATGCCACCTCTGCCTGGCCCCAGAGTGGGGTGGGAATGGAGAGTTTGCAGTATCCTTCCCCTGCTATGCCCACCAAGCCACACCCACCAAGCCACACCCACAGAACCAGAAATTTTAAAAAAATGAATTTCACTACGGCTCCAGACTCCTGATCATCTTGGTTGCTCTTCTTGAATAAAGTAACTTTACTCAACTGGTCCCTAGTAAATACATACATACATACATACATACATACATACATACATACATACATACATACATACATACATACATANCTTGGTTAATTTCTTGCAGGTGTTCCATTACCCAAACTAGGTAACATCATCACTAGCACTAACAATGTTGTCTACTTTGGGTAATGAAACGTCTGCAAGGAAACCACCAAGTTCAGAGGGCACCAAAAACTCCTCATTTCAATCCAAAACTACAAATATGCTCCTACATTGGAATCTACTCAATCTTTGCAACAGACAAATCTTGAAAAAAGGAAGTCGAGACTTGGGTCAAAATCTCTGTTCTTCTGTTTCTTGGAAATACACGATTCATAGTTATCTCATCCTCCTCTTCATTCCTGGAAACCCAAAGGATGGCTAATGGTTGTTCATCTCTTGCATGAAAGACCTTTTGCTTCGAAATGTTTATCCGGTCCGATACTGCTCATCTCTTAGCAAATGATTTTAGAAGCAGAGCTGGGGTATAGTTGGAGCAAACTCAATTGCTACTAAGGGTTGAAAAGAGACGGGGGTTACAGCAGGGATGAAATTCGGCAGGTTCTGATAGGTTCTGGAGAACCGGTAGCAGACATTTTGAGTAGTTCGGAGAACCGGCAAATGCCACCTGTGCCTGGCCCCAGAGTGGGAAGGAATGAAGAGTTTGCAGTATCCTTCCCCTGCCACGCCCACCAAGTCCACAGAACCAGTAGTAAAAACATTTGAATTTCACCACTGGGCTACAGCCATATGTTCTTCCACAAAGACGTTTCACTTCTCATCCAAACAGTTTTTTTCAGTTCTGAAGAAGTTTCGTGGATGAGACACGTCTTGGTGGGGGAAAAAGTAAATCTAGTTGCTTTTTGAAAAACAGCCAGAAAACCTTTTGGATTATATATAAAGCTCAATTTTAAAAAATTAGATGAGTCAAGTTTTGACTATTAGGGGGAAATGTTATAGGATATAGTCAAATAAAGAAGGGTTAATGATAAATAATTTATATATAGTTATGGGTACATCATAAGGAAACTGGATGTAAATTGCAAACAGTGTTTTGAAAAGGAGGATTGGAAAATTTTGTTACTAAATATTATGGATGTTAGAATAGGATATAAGGACTCAGTACTATTGGAGGATTTTAGAAATAGTCAATGAAATGCCAGAATGTGGTTACGTATTAAATTTTGGTATATTTTAAGATGAAGGACGTCTAAACAATG